AAGGTCGGGCTGTGCAGGAGGAGCCTTGGGAAGGCAGGTAAATAGCAGCAAGCGAGGAGCGCTGCTCCTCAAAGATCAGCCCCTGTGCTGCTGTGCGTGCCTGCTGCAATCCTTCCTCCTCCCTGTGCCATCCCATCACTGCAGGCACCAGGCAGAGCCTCCCTGCACCTCCAAGCTATTTCCAGCCTCATCAGAGCCATTTGCAGGGGAAAGAAACCCCCAGGGGCAGCACATGGCCCTGTGACAGGCACCAAGGGAGCAGCCCCTGCGCCTTCCCATAGGTTTGTTCTTTGGGAAAGCAATAACAGAGGAGGAAAACCCAAAGGGGAAACTCCCACCAGCCTTTCTGCTGTTGCATTTGATGTCTGATTTCCGAGTGCTTTCCCACCGCAGGCTGATGGAGGAGGAAGCAGCAGTGAAGGGGGTACAGATGGGAGGAACATGGGGGTGGGCTCTCTGGGGGATGTCAGCTCACTGTGACAACACGTCCTGCACGGGCTGGGGGGTGACAGCTGTGCCACCACGCTTGGTGCGGGACACAAGTCTGTATGGGATGGACGCAAGTGTCAAGCAGCTGCTGGGCGGTGGAAGAGGCCGAGCATCCTCTGCTGCTGCTGCAGGGAACAGCTTCAGTGCCTGCAGCGATTGTGGCCTGGCCTCTGCTGTTCGTGCTGGGAATGGCAGCGCTGCAGGCAGTGAGCTCCAGGCTGTGCGGGTGGCACTGGGCCGTGCTGGTGGTACTGGGCCATGTAGGTGGCAATGGGACAGGTGGATTTCAAACACCTGGGTCGTGCTCAGGAGCTCCACTCCCAGCTGAGAGCTCTCAGATAAGCAGCTGCAAACAGCCTTAGCACATTTCCCAGCCCCAGCATGAGGTGCACAGCAACGGGTCCCCTCCTGCAGCCCTCTGGGGACAATCCAGCCCAGGCACACTGCCTGGCCGCAGGTGACTCACAGTGCATGGCACCCAGGCACACTGGTGTAACGCTGTGACATTGCTCCCTTGGGGTTTTTTCGGTCACTTACTTTGCTTCCTTATTGCCTAACGCTCTGCTGAGTTCACAGAGGTGACCATCATGGCCTCTCCCTTCCTGAGGCTCAGCACAGCCCTCCCACAAGGAAGGATGCATCCCCTGTCCCAACACGGACGTTTTTCCAGCAGTCTTTGAAGACCAAAGTGCAGAAGGGGCTGTGAAGGTGACAACAAGGCAGAGGACAGGTCTTGCTGCTTCCAAAGTCCCCTCTCAGCCACAGGGAGATGTCGGTGCCTGGCACCTTGGCACAGGTCCCTGCTCTCCTCCCTCCTGCCCCAGCTTGCAGCCCATCCCAGGGAGGTTAGTGCCAGGACACCCCCACCTCCCCTCTCCTCACTGTCACCCCATTGTCACAGGCACCTGGATCTGCCTTGCTCCACCCACCTCCAACCACAGCTTCCAAGCAGCTGGGCGGAACCCAAAGGTTTTTCCACCCTCATTTCTACCAGGAACAGATTTGCTGGCTGATCTCACCCACGTGAGGGTGCCAAGGGGAGGGCTGGCTTGGAGCCTTGCTTCTGTAGGATGCGACACATGAGAAGCTCTCAGAAAAGGGCCGGGACTCAGCGCTGGGAGGAGGCTGCTGGGGGTGCAGCTCAGCGCTGAGCTGCAGGGACAGGGCTGCAAGGTGTGAAACTAAGTTTATGTTATGGCAAAACCCATTCCCATATAGAAGCCTCGGCAGTGCAGGCATGCCAAAAGCAGACTGCAAATGTCTCAGCACCACAAAGCTTATCAATATGAGTGGGATGAATCTCAGCTTGGAGCTGGTTTCCCAGTGTAAAGGACCACAGAAGCAGGAGATGTTTCCCCATGGAATTCACAGCCATCCCTTTCTGGCCAAGACACCCTGCGCAGCGCATATGATTGGCTCTGCAGCTCCACACAGCTCCAACCTCGAGAATGTGTCACCCCAAATCCAGCCCAGCCAGCAGGATGTGCCCAGACCTGCAGTCTGTCTGCCCAGCTCCCAGCAGTAGGGCTGGGGATACCCAGGAGAGGACTGGGGGGTCTTGGAGGGACAGGAAACAGGCAGCCCCAGTGTGGCAGCTGTGGTAGGGAAGGTGTTCAGCTTCACAGCTGGTTGTGAGCAGTGGGTGCCCTCTGTCTGCACAGCAGCCATGCCTGGGAATGCCCTATGTTGAATTTGGCTTTGAATTGCACCACACAGTACACGGCTCTGGTGCTCCCTGGAGAGGCTTTTGGTGCTTAAAACCCAAACCTTCCACAGTGGGCTTACAGCGCTTGGTTCCACTGTCGCAGGGACTCAGAACTTGTGAGCACCAGCAGCAACTGGGGAGGGGGGGAGGGGAGGGCTCCGCGAGTCGCCAGCAGGGAGCACTCACGTACAGCACTGGGAGCAGCCACATGCAGCACCAGGAGCATCCATGGATGGCACTGGGAGCACTCATGCGGCATTGGGAGCACCCATAAATGGCACGGGGAAGACCCATGTATGGTACAGGGAGCACCCAAGTATAGCACTGGGCGCACACATACGTGGCAGTGGGAGCACTCGTGTATGGCACCGGGAGCACCAATAAATGTCACTGGAAGCACCCATACATGGCACTGGAAGCACCCATACATGGCACTGGGGGCACCCACGTGATGGTACGAGGAGCACCCTGCTACGACAGCAGCACCCAATGAATGTCACTGGCAGCACCCACACACGGCACCGGGAGCACCCACGTGCAGCACCAGGCGGGGCGCTCTAGGGGGCGGGCCCTAAGCGGGGCCACGCCCCCTCCCAGACCACGCCCACGAAACACCCCCGCCCCCTCGCCGAAGCTCCGCCCCCACGTAGGCCCCGCCCCGTCCCGCCCGGCCCAGGTGGAGGCGGCGGCGCCGGTAGCGGCGGTGGGAGCGGGGCGTGGATGCGGTGAGGTGAGCGCGTCGTGTTCCCGGGCCGGGCGGAGGGCTGCTGCGTTCGCTGCTTTGCTTTACTTTGTCCCTCTTTCCCTGCTTTGTCTCCAGCCGCTTTTTTCCCCCCGCTCCGCGTGGCCGAACGATCCCGAAGCGTTCCCGTCGGAGGGTCCCGCAGTTCCCCGGAGCGCCGCGTGCCGGGTTCGGTGCTGCGGGGCACCCGGCGCTGTTACCGCGATCCGGGTTCAGCCGCACCCGGAGACCTCAGAGGGCGCTTTGTGGCCTCCGGTCCCGGCGGGAGGAGGAAGTCCCGGCCCCGCGGCGTCACCGTCCCGCTCGGGCACCGCCGGGGATTCCCGCTGAGCTCCGGGGGGCGGGGAATTCGGGGTTCTCGGGGTCTTCTGGAACGCTCTGTGGGACCCCCGGCCACGTGTGCTGTGTGATCCTACGGGGACGCTTTGCTCCTCAGAACCGCAAATGCTCTGCGGCCCTTTGGGTTCCTTTGTCGCAAGTGCTTTGGGGTCCTTTGGGTCCCTTTGCCATTGGCACTTTGGGAACCCTTTTGGCACGGATGCTTTGGGATGCTTTACAACCCTTGGCCACAAATATTTTGGGGTCTTTTGGGGACCCCTTGACTGGGGACCCCTTGACTGGGGACCCCTTGACTGGGGACCCCTTGACTGGGGACCCCTTGACTGGGGACCCCTTGACTGGGGACCC